TTTGTCTTCTATCCACACATTTTCTGCAAGTAACTGTTTACTGTAGTAACCTGAATCAACACAATTCTGTGTCAATTTTCTACTCTGACTTATCAGTTTTTATTTCAAAAGTCATCATCATCATCATCATTATCAACATAGGACCAGGCATTACTGCGTAACGGTCCCACTTGCCACACCTCATATCAGCACATCAAGTAAAAAGGTAGTGAGGTGAAGGATGAAGATAAGTGAATGCAGTCAAAAGAAATATAAAGTACGAGAAGAAAGGAAAGAGGAGTGACAAAATAGTGAGATTCGGTATAGTGTTGTTAAGATGAGGATAATGTGTGTATACATCTGCGCCACTGACTTCGGTTCTGAGCCATATCACCTAGGGTCTCCAACCACTGGTTCCTCTTGTCCCGTGGACCCCAACCACCTAGTCTGCATCGTCCTACATGGCTTAAACTAACAGTCAGAGACTTCATACACTGATGCCATGTTCTAGTCTGGCCACCTCGGGCCTTTTTCCAGCCTGGACCTACCTCAGCCAACATTGTGTGATGAGGCAATCGGTGACTAGGCATACGTAGTACGTGTCCCAACCAGCCATCTCAGTCGATGAAGGTTCACAACTCGTCAACTGACTTACCTCTTCTCCCCAAAACTCTACACCTAACTTCTGCATTACTCACATGGTGACACCACGGAATACGTTCTATACTACGAAGGCAATGGTGGTCAAACACCTGAAGCCTTTTTGTATCCTCCACTTTCAATGGCCATGTTTCACAGCCATAGAGTAGAACAGACCGGACTGTTGTGCAGTACACGCGACCCTTAATAGACAAAGGAATATCACGGCGGCGCCATAGGTGGCGCAAATTGGTAAAAGCCAATCGAGCCTTTTGTATCCGTGCAGAAATCTCATCAGCAACTAACCCACCAGGGTTGATCCTATTTCCCAGGTAGGTGAAGCAAGTGGTTGACACACTCAACCACTTCACTCTCTATTGTTAGCCACATAGGGGCACTGCTGAAGACCAATCCTGGAGCAAAAATTTGCATTTGGGTGGTGAAAATCGCATCCCAAACATTCTCAAATTCCCACTCAAAGTGTTCAGAAGACTCTGCATCTTGTCAGCGTCTTCACCTAACAGGACTATGTCATGTCATCTGCATATTCTAGATCTAAAGAAAATTTCAAATTTCAAAAGTACGATAACATAAAAATTAGAAAAGTAAACAAAAGCACATATAAGAAAGTAGATAAAATTATTGGATTACAACAATAAGCTTCAATGAAATTCAATGCAATAAAATCAAAGTTACTGTCAAGTAACAGTAGTGTAAGCTGAAATACACATTCAATAAACAGATGCAGTAGGTAATGAGCCATACTTATCTAATGATATTGCCTGGATACCTAGATCTAACGTCGATAAGTGGGGTAGAATGAGGTTCAGTCATGTCACACACTGTTTGACCAATCAACTATCAATCCAAGCAACTTCAATATAGTAGGATTTTGTTAACAGAATATATGAATGTATCAAACTCTTGTCAACTCAACTTTTGTGAATATATCCGTTATGATTTTCAACAATAATAATAATAATAGTAATGTAATTGAAACGAGAAAAGTTAGCTGTGTTACGAGAATGTCACCAGTGAACCGACAAATAGCAATATGTTTTATCCTGGGGTTTGTGGAAACCTGGAAACACTGGACAGCTGTTTCCTCCTCGGCCAGGACACCTTAGCAGTGCGCACTCACGACTTCACCACACCAGGGATCGATCCCGGGACCTTCATGTTCCATGGCCACTACGTGTCACCACATAGCCATTGATGAATGCCAACCTGAAATCAGCTAATAAATCTCCACAAACCTTAAGATAGAATTATTGTAACGCTCATTGGTGATTAGCTTTGAGAGGTGATTCCTAAAGTCCTAATGAGAAGTCGTGACCAGTGGAATCAACCAAGTCGAACATGAGGACAGTCACTCAAAGACGACATTGGATATAGGCCACGCTATATAGTGAATTGACAGAAGTAGGAAATGTGAACCACTGGATTTTGACCCAGTGGTTCAATGGTAATGTGATGGCCACGGAACATGAAGGTCCTAGGTTCGATTCCTGGTCGGGCCATGGGGTCCCACTCCTGAGGAGTCCCAGCCGAGGACGAAACAGCTATCTAGTCTGATATAGGTTCATGATAAACTCCAACCTGAAATAGCAATATGGTAAATACGATGGGAACAGGTAACACTGACACAAGGCTATATCAGTCAGTTGTTGAATCAGTGAATTAGCACAGAGTGGTTTCAACCTCTGCAAAAATACAACGGTACACATCGGTGACTGTTTGGTGATTCGAATGGAAAATCTCGGAATCACTGGTTTGGTAATTATTATTATTATTTTTCTCTTGGGCTTCAGAAGCACGTCGCCATTTCACTCTCTTATCTGCAGTCTTCAAAACCTGGCGCCACGACTGTTCACAAGCTTTCATTTCTTCCTCATACCATTTCCTCCATATCACTCTCGCCTTGGATGCCCAACTCGTCGTTTCCCCTTTGGATTCCACTAGACGGCCTGACTTGACGCGTAAAGTCCTCAGACGGTTTTCTCAGTGTATGCCAAATCCATCTCCACTTTCTTCTGCACTCGTTTGGTAAGCTTAATTGTGAAGATAACCTATCTTATATTTAATCTTCACAGTAGTTCTGAAGAGTGAATTTGTGAGCGAAAGATATACACAGAGATGAGGTGGGTTTACAGATACATATTGTTGTGAATTTCTGCTAAGGAATAAAACAATTATTTGGTTAACTATTTCTAGTGCTTTCAAACTGCTTACTTAATGAACCTCTAGTACTTGCCTATTGAAGCCTGGAGTACACTAACATTTCTCTTATCCTCTTTTATGAGTTATTGCTGTTTCTCTTAGTCTTACATCCCTTGTATACATTAATAGTTTTTTAGATAGGTTACTACATTCTTCTTCCACATTGGATTGACTTCATGTTGAAACAAGCTTCCGACAGCTAGTCCATTTTCTATGTGTTAGTTATAGTAGCAAAGTCAGTTTTTGTTTTAATTGTATTCTTTCTCGATTGGCTCTTTCCGATTAACACTTAAAGAATTCCTATGAATAATAGCTAGCGGTGGAATCCAGGATGCATGCTTTATCCTACTTGAGACTCGTCAGTAAGCGATATCGCTTTAAATTTCGGAGAAACTCTGGGCAAGATTTATCAAGATCCATTTTTAACTACAATGTCTTCATAATAGAAAAATTAACAAATTAATGTTCTCCAAGGCTAACTCAAGCTGAGAAGGCTGCTTCAAAAATGAGACGAGGCAATCCAGTAGGAAGTGACCGTTAACCACTAGAAGCTTTCAAGGATTGAGGTAAGTAATTGTCGATTAGATTAATTGAGGTGCTAGCTAATGTATGGAAACCAGCAGCAATTCCATCAAACTCGTTTTGATGGTCTAAAAGATGGCCAGTGACAACCACATAGTTCGATAAAATGAAGATCTTGAGAAAAATAAGGCCTTGTGAATACTATGAACGAAAATCATAGTTTGTTCTACTTCTTCTTTCCTGATCAAATTCTCCGCACATTTTTGTTGTTTGTGATTGATTGTAACTTCCGAGGATACTCTTTTTCTTCTGTCTGCATGACATATGATCAATTCTCGTGCTTGCAATATAGATAAGAAGAATGTGCCCTGATGCATATTTATAAAAGTTTAGCCATTATCAGACATGGTTAAAATGAAATCTAAGATGAAATCAGGTGTTAACTCTCAAGGTCATTTAAAAGAATTGTAACTTAGTGTGCTTTTCCGAAGTTTGCGACCACGTTATCACCATTACAAAAAATGAAAGCGTTTTCAATAGGTCTGCAGTAATTAGTAAATGAATCTATGGAAGATATACGTGTGTCACTTTGTAACTTAGACATAAAGAGATTGAGCAAGTGCGATTTCCAGAGGGTAACCTGTTGCTAATCTGTCTGCCCGTACTTCCGTTCATCCATCGGAAAGGTTATCGTGGAACAAAAACTGAACATTCATGGTATAGTGTAGTGTAAGCTATCAATAGATTATGAAACGTATGCCAAACATGCTCAGATTTCTCTGCAAGGCGTTTAAAAGACACTGTATTTTGCCAACATCTTTACCTAAAAGGATAATACCGTCTGGGTACACCGAGTCAATTAGATGCCCTTCAGAGAGTATATAAATGCCTATGAGCAAGTGTGATAGTGGGGAAGCTGTTTCTATTGTATCTGTCCGTCCGTCCGTGCGTGCGTGCGTCAAAAAGGTCATTGTGGAACAAAAATTGAACATTCATAGCATAGTGTAGTGTAAGTTATCAACAGGTTATGAATACAAATCACTAACCGCTAACACTTTACACACAATCAACGGTTGCTTCCAATCACAAGATGTTCGCAAACATTGATATAATATCAATGGAAGTTTTCGCTTTCGTTTATCGTTGACTCAGTAAGCGCAAAAACATCTTTTCAACTGCAACTGCATGCATATGTGCTGCATATGGCTTTAGTAGTTAGAAGAACCATTTTGGTATTATGCTTGAATACCAACTTCATGATATTCTATCTTTGTGAATTTTAGGGAAACTGTGAAGCCTTGTAATATTAAACTAGTTTCTCTTGACTTCAAATACTCAAACAGTTTAAAGGACACTAACCATCTTGTATTCAACAACTCTAAGTAATTAGTTATCCCTCATCCACAAGGATCAGGTCAAATTCAAGGTCCCTTGGAACTGATCCAATTCTCATCTATCAGTTAAAATCCTTTTCCTCTTATCTGAACAGATTAATTGTGGTTTATTTTCAGTTTGAATGACATCGATAGCTGGCTGATTTTATACACCTAAGTAAAAATGCAGACCAATTGTTCTACAAAATAGTTGTAATATCACACCTGTTTATAGAAAAACATCAACTAACATCTTATTAAACTTACAGAAAGATTTTCAGTATCACCAAGACAAGTGATAAAGTACTTATAACCAAAATCTCGAACAGAATCATTTCGACCGAATTCCGTCTACAGGAAAAGATGGCAGCAATAAAAATGAAACACAATTAAAAAAAGTGAAAGGGTAGTAGTTACAGTTGTTTATTAATGTCAAACCTTTTAGCTAAAAACGTTTTGTTAGAAAAAAGTAAAATCTGATGTCTTTGTCAATTAAGGAAGCCAATAACACCACTAAACCGATCAGTTAAGGATTTAAGCTTTTTTTCCGTATGAAATTCAATCATCATATTGGAAACAGTCTGGGCTAAACATAATTTATGCAGCAAATTAGTTGATTTACACAAATCTGCTACTTAATTATTATAAACAACCACTTACTGCCAAGAAGATACAAGCAAAATAACCATAAATTGAATTTCGACAACTGTCCCTGTTAATTAGTGCAAAAACTAGGCTGATAATGAGTCAATCGAATAGCTCCTAAGTGTAAACACAAAATGACTCGAGGTGGCTTCATTCTCCAGTCTTTCCCTCTGCAATATATATATATATATATATATATATATATATATATATATATATATATATATATCGTCAGGCAACGACCCAAATGATGCCAATTGGCAAATGCCAAACAAGCCTTCCTTATCCGAGCTGAGATTTCGTCAGCAACTAGCCCGCTAAAGCTGATGCGAATCCCTGAGTAAGTAAAATGGTTAACACATTGCACCACTTCACTACCTATCATTAAACTAGGAGTAGCTGCAGACCAGTCCAGACGCATCATCTTACATTTGACAGGTGCAGCGAAACGCATGCCAAACATGCTCAGATTTCTCTGCAAGGCGTTTAGAAGACTGTATTTTGTCAATATCTTCATCTAAAAGGATAATATCGTCTGAGTACCCCAAGTCACCTAGATGCTCTTCAGGGAGTACATAAGTGCCTGTGTAGTCAGATGTACCTAGTTCGTCTATGACAAAGTTAAACAGGAGTGGTGACAGTGGGCACTAATGACGGACACCACTAGTTGTCTTGAATCCAGACGAAAACTATCTATAAATTTTTACATGACTGTATAAGTTCAAGTAGAGGGTTTTGATTAATGTTAAATAATTGTTTGAGAACTTCTTTTACAATCAGACACTGCCACAATATCTCATGGTCGGAAGAGTCGAATGCTGACTCCAGCTCAAGAAATGTGACAAACGTCGGCCATTGACCGGTAAGTATATCTGGGTTCCAGAATCTGTAGGAAGATGAAAATCTGATCGATGCACAATCTTCCAGATCTCAAACCAGACTAGTTTTCTCGAGTTTGCTGTTCTCATGCTCCACTTAGATGTTGGGTGATTATGAAACCTAAATCTTTAACACCATGTTACTCAAACTTATTCCCCTATGGTTAACACGAAAAGATTTATACTTCCTTATGAAGGGAGATCCTCAGTGAAGTAGAACAGTCTGACGCGATTACCTCCGATTCCTATATGCTCTCTAGTACTTCCGTTACTCTAATCAACAATTTCCTACCTCCATCCTTAAACCCTTCAGACGACAAACCGTCAGGTCGTGCTGCTCTGCATCGTGTCAGGTTCAAAATAGCCCTTTCGACTTCGATGAGAGTTGGAGATTCGATTCTCCAGCCCCATTTAATTTTATTTTGGGTTGGATGCTGAGTTACTGAGGCGCTGCTGTAGGTCAGTTAGACTTTGCTTCAAAGTGTCATGCTAAACGTTTAAACTGTCTCCTGAGAGGTTATCCACTCACCATCATCTACTTTCCGGTATCCTTAATCAGCCTAAATAATTGCCGAGTATTACTTAATGCTGATGCCTCATCTATCTCTCTCCCTTTCCCTACTAGAGCGCTAAAGTCACCTGGTATTATGACTGTATCCAGACATTTTGGTTTCTGCAGCAAAATTGACAGTTTCTGGTCGAATTCATCCTTTGCATCATCCAAACTGTAGGTGGGACTACAACCGAAATCGGTGGTTGGATAGTCTAGGTGATATGGCTCAGGATCGACAGTTGTGGCGTAGATGCATCTGGAAATCAATTTAATTCTAATCGTGATGCCAAAAGTCACTGCTTTTTCATTCTTTTTTGTTCTTTCCATGATTTTTTGCCACTTCGGTTTCTCTCTTCCTTATTCTACTGTCTTTCATTTTAGAAACATCTACCTTGATGTGTTGATACGAGGTGTGACAACAAGAGGCGTTATGCAGAGATATGCAGGCGAAAATGAAACCTACATTTAAAAATCTGGACTGAACTGGACTGTGAACTTGCCACTCATTATTCTTCTAACCTAAATGGTCATATGTTAATCATCTGTATAAACTTATGAGTTGTGAAAAGCTGAAGAACTGGAAACTGTCGAACAAATGGTTACAAAAATGTGTCTGTCTTATCCTCCCCTTCATTTAGTCGTAATTCAATGTTGTAGCTATTCATTCAGGCGCAGGAGACGTGTAAGACAATCTCAGATGCCTTATCATATGTATTCCACAGTGAAAAAGCACCATTTACAGACATAGAAGTGGATACAAGTGAAACACAGACCGATTCTAGCAACCACACAAAGAAGCATCAAAATGACAACGTGAGGAAGGAAAACGTTTAACCGTATCGTTAGTCGCTTTCAGTATTTTTACGAAAAAATGTTACTACTACTAATTTCAAGACCAATAACTAAGTTGAAAGGATAATATAGTTTTTATGAAACCTCTATTGAATCATAAGTTGCATATCTACGAATTTTCAATGGATTCATACAGCTGATATGTTTACAACATTTTGAAGCAGAAATTCATTGGTGATATGGGTGAAGAACTGTGATGAGAATGCAACCGTCAAATGATGGTTATAGTAGAATTCAGTTCAGGGATTTCCCGAGAATGAATTTATTTTCAAGTTGTAAACTGCTTGCTAGCTAGCACTGGGATCCAGGAAACGCGTCTCGTCCTATTTGAAGCTCATCAGCTGGATATATCCGCGCTTGAACTCGGTACAAATCCCTTCAAACTCCAAAGCGTTGTCCATTAGGCCACTGGGACATGATAAGTACTTCTTGTCCATCCGTATCAGGTGTTGATTATCACTTGTAATCAAATAATTTTCATCACGGGAACCTGGTAGCACTGGATAGCTGTTTTGTCCTAGTATAAGACTCCTCAGCAGAGCACACCCAATGTTATCGTTGAGTAACTGTCCTCACGGCCATCAGGTTTGCCACACTGGTCATGACCTCTTATTGGAACTTCAGGAATCACCTCTCGAAGCTAGTCACTAATGAGCACTAAATCAATTTAGTTAAGGTGTTTGTGGTTCTTTTTGTCGTGAACTGACTAAGTCGGAAATATGGACTATTGGATTCCGATCCAGTGGCTCAATCATAATGTGGTGGCCACGGACATGAAGGTTCCGGGCTCGGTCCCTGGTGGAGTGGGGTCATAGGTGCGCACTGCTGAGAGGTCCCGGCCGAGAACAAAACGGCTGTCTAGTGTTCCCATGATGAATAACAACTTGAAAAATCAATGATACCCCCCCCCTTCCATAAACTACCGAATTCCAAAATATCTTATCAGAAGGCATAAGTCAAGATTAAAAAGAAATTATAGTCTTAGGAACAATGGTTTCATGGAGACTGTAGACATTCTGGTTTTCATATTGGATGTATCCATATTTTTAGCTAGAAACGTTTCTGGATATCCATTACTATTGACTACTGACTTCTCCTCTTCTATGTACATTTATTAGTTCAACTGCTCCTGTGGAGCTACTTACATTGAATGTACAGTTAGACAAATCCATCATCGAATCGCCGAAAAAAAGAAATTAGTATATACAATAAGTAAAGATAAGTAATGTGAAGGTGAATAAATCAGATTATAGGACTTAGAAAGAAAAACAAAAGAGAAACAATGTGACAGAATCACATGTCAGCGTGTTCACTACATGCAAACAGATATACATAAAATCGTGAATAAACCACAAGTAGAACAATTAAGTTCTATTGAAAAGTCAATGAAGTGATGTATCATTTAATCGATTCATTATAAAAAGGTTTGTTTTTTTGTTGTCAAATTACTATTGTACACGTGATCAATTCATAAACAGTCGATTGAAACTTTATTTGTTTACTTATTAGTAGGAAAGATGAAATACTGAATATTAGTATTATAAAGATAGGAAATTGTTCTGAAAAAAGAAAACTTCGATTTATTTATTTATTTATTTATTTATTATTTTAATGCTCTAAAGCATAGGTTACTACTATTGAACTAAAGCAAAGATAGATACAGTTAAGTAGACTAAATCAAAGTAGAACTTTGCACAGAAGTGTATCATCTCAAATTGCCTAAACTTCACAATAGTATGTTAAGAACAAGTAGATAGAAAGTGAATGATATAAAAGTATACAAAAGTGTATACGAAGAGAAAGAAAGAAAGAGAGTTAAAAGAGTAAAAGTTGGCAGAAATGTTTAAGCTTCAGTAAATATCAAAGAATGAACATTCAGGCTATTGTAATCCACTTTCAACAATGTTAGCAATGATCTTTGACCCCCGATTGATCTCATTTTCTCAAGGATTCTAGTCATATATGCATATAAAAGCAACAAAAACAGCTGCCCCGTGTACAATCAATTGTGATTTGAAGAAGAAATATTTAAGTATTATGTAACAGGTGGAATAAAAGACAACACGATTCGATTCTCCTCCCCTCGCCCCCTTGTCTGGAAGCCTACCATAACTCTCTAGATGGAGTTTATGAGATTCAATGACTCAGCATGACTTAAGACCAAAGTAGAGATAAGCATTCTTTTGCAACACATATGCGTAATTTTGTTAAATAATCTTTGAGCCCATCATTTTCAATGCTCATATTCTATCGAGTTCTTTTTGAGCAAGGCCTTTTCTTTTACTAACTGATGATCAGACTATATCAACCAAGTGGTTAAGTAGTAACATTTTCATCTGAAGACCTGATACCTCCCATGTTTCGTCTCTTATACAATCTTCACTAGTCTCCCATGATTAATCAACTAATGTTGGTTCCATGTTGGATCATTATTCACTTCCCACTAGGAAACTTTCAACTCAATGACAAAAAGTGCACACAGAATCTAACTATGAAATTAAAATAATATAAGGATTGGTATAAGGACTTTTATATGATACCGTCATTGGCTCGGTGATGGAGTGGATAACGCACTGGCGTTTGAAGCGATCGCTCCCAAGTCAGCGTCCCGGTGGGAACAACATCACTCACTGGGAAGCAGGTGCATCCAGCTGACGACTTCCAAATAGGACGAAGTGCGCATCCTGGATTCTACTGCCAGCCACAATCCATCATTAATATAAGGATTAATTTGATAATAATATTAGTAGTAAATATAAAACTGAATAAAAATAATAATAATAATGACACCTTTTACCTGTGCACTGGCGATAATTTTACCCCAAATAAAAACCAGATATGGTTTAACCTCTGGTACTGGTGAATGAAACAATCGAACTATGTAGGGAAATATGCCAACAGTTAAACAATGCGTTACAGCCCATGGTCCTAAATCAAGAAATTCACTTAACAATTGCATTGCACGAATTCGATGACTTTGACTTAATAATATCTAAAGTTGTCAATATAACATACAAAGAAAGAAAGATTGATTGATTAAGTAAGAAAATTAAATACTGAAAAATTTAATCAACAAAGTGATTCATTAACCAGGTGAAGATGTCGATACTCAGTCCTGACTTGTTCCTGTGTGTGTGTGTGTGTGTGTGTGTGTGTGTGTGTGTGTGTGTGTGTGTGTGTGTGTGAAGGGCTGTCAATGATACCTTGCTTTATAGACCTAGTTAGTTGGGGAAGAAAGCTTCTCCCTAATTGATAATGCTACATAATGTTAGGATAGTAAAAACAAATACGAATAAAATCGTAGCGTATTCATTTCAAAATTTCAAATCTTACAGTTTCATTATTGATAAAGTGAAACAGAAAAACGACCTAATACCCAAATGTATATTGCTCCAAGTTATTACAACATTGAAAATAACAAAAATGAAAATAGAAAACCATAGAAAATGGAGATGAAACAGGAAAGAATACAAAATGAACGTTGCTTTAAACAACAACAAAAAATTGAACACATAGACATGATTGACTGATAAAATCAATTTAGAACCTTTGCACACAAGTGCATCACTTCAAGTTGCCAATGTTCACACTAGGACATAAAGAACAGGTGGATAGAAAAAAGAGTGAAATCAAAGTAATCAGCGTTGTGTGAGAGAATAAAATATTCAAAAAGGTTGGTCCAAATAATCAAGCTGTAGAAGATATTAATAAATGAATACATCTGAGGCATTGTGACTGATTATCAACCATATCAGCTAGAGACAACCACCAACTAGATAGCTTACATCGCCCTAAACGACTTAAGTCAACAGTTGGGGACTTCATGGACTGGTGCCATGTCTTGACCTGTACACTCTAAACCCTTTTCCATCATAATCTAACTTCTCCAAGCATTGTACGTTGAGGTACGCGGTGGATCAGCATCCACAGTACATATCCGAGATATCTCTTAGTCGACTAAGGTTGACAACCTCATCAATCGACTTGTATGTCTTGCCTAGTAACCCTACGTCTGACCTCGCTCAACATTGATTAAACGATGATTGAATTTTACTCAAGACATCAGAAAACAGAATCGAAGAGATGTAGCTCTAGACATCAAGGTGGTAAATGAGTGACAGACGAATCAATTTATAACCTTGCATACAGGTGCATCACCTCAACTTGCTACACTTCACACTAGTAGTATACACAGAACTGGTGGAGTGAGATCAAACTAGACGAACTTGTTTCATACAGTTTTTGTGTAGCCCTAGTTTTGCTGTTGTTATTGATGTGATCATTTCTAACTTCGCATTTTCACACCACTACGTACCATATGACTACTAGTCTTTTTCTACCCACATTGTAATGTAATTCTCTGATTGGTTAATCTTTACTCTTACTATGCAAATGTCTCAAACTGGGGACAAGGTCATTCTTCACGTGTGTGCACATATCCACCTGTTTAGGGACAGATCGGTTATCATCATATTCTCGGAGTAATAAACTCCCTCATCATCCCAACTTCGGTCTTCTCTCTATTCATCCCTAGGTTGCAGTCAGTGGCTCTTGAGTACGAAGTTAGCTGCCAGTTAAGCGTGCGTACTATTTCCGTTGAATAATATATAACCGTTGCCGACGAAGATTAAGTATAGTAGTTAGTGTGAGGACAACGTGTGTATGCATCTGCGCCACGGACATTGGTTCTGAGCGATATCACCCACAGTCTCCAACCACTGGTTTCTCTTGTTCCACAGACTCCATCCGACTAGTCTGCATCGCCGTACATGGCTCAAACCAACAATCAAGGATTTCATGCATTGATGCCATGCTTTAGTTTGGTAGCCCCAAGCCTTTTTGCAGCCTGAGCCTACTTTAGCTAACATTTTGCAACGAGGCAGACGGTGACTAACACATATCCCAGTCAATGAAGGCTTTCAACCGAATCAACTGTCTTATCAAGCAATCAGTATTCGACTAAAGCGTGCTGTTAAATTAACAATGAAATTAGATCGAGACTATGCACGGACAGGTGTACTTGGATTCCTCTTATGGTTTTCTACAATGAAGCAGAATCTTGCATAGAGTATTTCATCTCACTCAAGTTGAAAAATGTTCTGAAATATGCTGCTGTCAGTGTCAGGATGAATCAGTTTAACTGGTTTAAACTTCACGGGAAAAAGACTAAATCGTCTATTCATATTCTAACATTACTGATGAATCCTTAACCTAAGGTGAAACAACTACTGACTTGTCAGAATATCAGTCAATAACCCAAACTGTGATATAATTATGCTTTGCTGAATGTACTATAACTTGTTTACATGTAATGCGAACACACTCAAGTCAACATGTATGAAGCTCACAGACTTGCATATGTGTACTTGGAAATATTCAGCGGGATCGTATTTGACATTATTTCAATGATAAACAAATATAATCAAACACTTAAATGGACCGCAAATAATCTAAATGAGGTCAGAAGATGTCAAAAAATATTCTCCCAGTGATCGTTGGATTTTTTTTCTCGTCACGACAGTGACCACAAATAGTTACACTACGTGATAATGATTGAAGGTGAAATGAAAATTTGGACCCCGGCCGGATCCGAACCAGCGATCACTGGGTTTCCAGACCGATGATCTACCAACTGAGATACGAGTTCCAACACTACTGACTAGATTTTCACTTCATTTCAATCATCAAGGCTTTTGTCCGACTACCGTGTGAATTCATGGCGCGTTACTACCACTTGATCGTGTTCACACTGACTGCCTAATCAGGACTTCTCATCCCAATCCAAATCTAACTGAATTAGAGAGAGGGAGCATCATATTGATTTTCATTTGACTATCTGAGATAGCCGTGGTTTGGCACACTTGTAGTGATAATGGCTGGTGATGAGTCCTGACTGGGTAGCCAGTGTGAATACGATCAAGCAGTAGTAACGCGTCACGAATTCATATGGTAGTCGGGCAAAGACCTTAGTGACTGAAGTGAAATAAAAATCTGGTCAGCAGTCGGACCTCGTAGTTCAGTTGGTAGAGCATCGAGTAGGAAACCCGGTGGTTGAAATAATGGAGAATATTTGTAGTTCAGGTGGATGGTCTTGGTTGCATTGTGTTTTCTGAGCTGGGTTGTTTAACAGTGAAAAATATGGAACGCTTCACGATTTTGCGTGTCATCCTTGCGCAGGGGCCATGCTAATCGTGAAGCGTTCCATATTTTTCACGATTAAACAACCCAGCTCAGAGAACACTATACAACCAAAACCCGATGGTTGTTGGTTCGAAATCCTACCGCGGTTTAAATTTTCATTTCCCCTTCCATCATCAACCAGCAAAAATACTAGTCTGCGGCTATCTCAGACGGTCAAGTGGTAATAAATGATTATCGTTAGAGCCTACAGGAGACTCACATACATGAACCCCACAACTATGAAAAAATCACAGACTTTTGGTTAATAGCATATTTGTAGAACAGAATATTGAACAGAAGGTTAAGGTGGCATACGAAATGCAGTCCGTAACTGCAAATGGTTTAAGTGATTTACAGATTTGTCTCAGTGTACCATATTGCCTGAAGCAGGAGTAGATTTGTGACGTAACATGAATGCCACATGTGAATTACAATTTCAGATAAATTGCTGAAATCACTAAGAAATGTGAGTCCTAGGTTAGAATAAGCAATGGTAAGGCAATGAGCCACACCTAATGTATGAGCGATGGTTATGCTAACTGATCATGGAAACTTCAACTGTAATGCGAGACTCAAACCCTAGGTTACTTGATTGAAAGTTAGCTGACTAGATGGTTTGTTGATACAAAGCTTGCCAACTCAGGCTATCACACTGCAATTCCAAGCCCCATGTGGACGGGGAGTGACTAATACATTTCACACAAACCATTTGAGTATAACTACATCACAATGATCTCATAGAAATCGGAAATCAGTATCCATGTATTCGAGTGTTGCAAAGCTATCTATTAGGCAAAGTAGCTATAATAGTGTGTGAAGATGATGAAAATACTAGCTCACCGAGAAAAACCTAGTTACACTTGGACACCACTGCTACTAATCAATAGATGTTATTATAAAGTCATCAAACAAATTAAAGCTACCATATAATGGACCTGCAAATCAACAAACAGTCTATAACAATCCAGTTTAGTAAACTTTAAACTAAATTTCAAGTAATCACGTCGGAAAATCAAGACAAGTTTCATCTGAAGAATATTATAGTAATCACTAAAATATTCAATTACTGTTACTGTTGGTCTGAGTCATGTGGGAGGATTTAGACTGTCTAGTTGGAGTCTTCGAAATAAAAGGAATTAGTGGTTGAGGGCACTTGGTGACCTGGCTGAAAATTGACTACTCATTGACATCTTCTAAAGCTTGAATATTTCCCCATAACCGTCATCTTCAGATTCATTATTCTCTCAAATAACTTTGTCTACTTTGACATCACTCCTTTTCTATCCACTTATTCTATGTATACTAGTGTGAAGTGTGGCAACTTGAGGTGATGAACTTGTGTGCGAGGTTTTACGTTGATTTTGTCTATCAGTAAGTCAATAACCAGGAAGTTGGATGATGATGAAATGGAATTTATTTAGGTAAGAGTTCCAGTTTGCTACTTTCAGAAGAAAGTGTGGGCACGTTCATATACTGGCTGTAGAATAAGTAATAACAATACTTAGGTATCCTATCTATCGAACATCTAAACAATATTAAAAAACTAGCTTACATTTGATCACACTCACTAACCTGAAGTAAAATTGGAAGTTGTGTAGCTGGAGGACGTCTTTCATCAGCTGTCTGCAGCCAGATTTTAAACGCAGTCATTTGACTAGTGAAAAATGATGCCGGTCCACTACCGCCAATTACAGAACCAGAGCTAACAGTAGTGGATATCATCTGAGCTGGCTGACCACTGTCGCTAGGAGGCAATGAGTTTAAGAGGATTTGTTGATTTGGTGGTATCATATTGGCATTACTATTAATCAAAGATCTATTGATATAAGGACTGTTTTCACTTTGAAGAGGATTGTGGTTTTGGAGCCGATTACCAGGCTCAGTTGGTAATCGAACACATGTTCTTGGATCTAAATGCTGTCTTACTGTGTTGGGCTGTAAAGCGGTTGTTTTTATTGTTGGTATTAGTGATGGGGGTAATTGATTCACTATCGACTTCGTATTGACTCTATGTCGACAAGGTCCCATGAGACCGCTGATATCACCACCATTCGGTAATAAATACAACTTTTCATAACCATGAGGATAATTTGTAACAGTTTGTTTTTGAGGTTTCATAGGTGAAGCAGTAACCATGTTTTTAGGTTTGTTCTGATTTACATTCTAAAATTTTAAAGAAAGAATATTACAAAAGGTTAGTTGTTAATACGGAAGTCAGATAAAAGGAGTCATTGAGTCAGCGAGTTTAAAACGCAAAATAGCTGATGATAAGGAAATGAAGCTGAAGTGATTGAGATAGTTGGATTCCCCGATCAAGACTATAAAAATCGATTTAATAGTCCCGGAAATAGTCAGGTCAAGAAGCTACACCACTCCACGAAGTTATTTAAGGATAATCTGAAGCATAGAAACAGATAAAGCCCTCCATCATGAGTTTCACAACATGGCAAAAGTAGGCAGCTGAAAATATTTGACATTATCAAGAAGTTAATACTACTTATTCTACTCCAAATCTTCGAAATCCTAGTCTTCTGTGTAATTCTAACCAGTTTAGTTTTACTGTTTTACCTTTTTTCATATTGATTATTCTTATGCTCATTTTCGCCTGATGACTACTTGGTCTTAAACCATTGCTCCAGAGAAGCAGAAGAAGGGGACAACGAGCAATTGATGCGCTTTTCCATTTGAATTGAAACTGATCATAGCAATGCGCACCTTATGCTATAAGTAAGTAGAGCGTAAGCATTTGAAACTCTACCAGTTACATATTCAGGATTCGCTAATACTTGGACTGATATCAAAATTGTGACAAACTATTTTTTATTTCAAGTTTACAGAACAATTAAAATGGAAAGAAAACAAGCGCATTGTGAACACTATTCTAATAATCACGGAACGGAAGGCATTCAGTCACCTTGTGCACATCCATGCAGTAGACAGTAAGTCATGTCAATTGAATGAAGGCTAGTAATACTATCTGGCTGCCCAAATCTCGGCAGGTGGAGAGAGGTTAGAATCCATGACACACTGGTTGATGATCATCTTACACCACTGAGCTACAAATCCGTAAATGATCAAGTGAAGAATCAATCAAAAAGAGGCAGTTCATGTACAACTCTTATACTAGGCCATGATAAATTGAGTCTATTGCTTTAAGGCTAATGAGACTAGCTGCTTGCTCACCTCAAGCTAGTTGAAACTTGCTATTACAGGTGACTGTATTATAGAACTACGATACAGTAATCAAAGGCAAAACTATGCAAAATAATGCAGAACTCTTCATAGTGCTAAACTCGTCCAGCAAGTCACATCTTGTTGTACTATAGCCAAACATCATTTTGACTATATGAGATAGGTGTGGTTTGGCAGACTAGTATTTATACTGGGTGATGATTGAAGGGGAGATGAAAATTTGGACCACGGCCCAATGCACTAACCAGCTGAGCTATGAGGTCCAACCGGATTTCATTTCACTTCAATTACCAGGGGATTTGGTTGACTAGTCATTTGGTAGGTCATCGGGTAGGAAACCCGGTGGTCGCTGGTTCGAATCCGGTCGCGGTCCAAATTTTCATTTCATCTTCAATCATCACCCAGTATCGATAGCCAAATATGATCAATCATATTGATATGATAGCAAAAAGACGAAAAAAACGTTTTGTCAGTTACCAGTGACTAAAATAACCAACCAACTACTCAGAAACTGCTTAATTTAATACAGTTTTAGTGCTCATTGATGACCAACTTCAAGATCTATTAAGAACAGATATAAGTGAGTGTCGTAAATTGCCGGGTCAATGAAGTTCCGTTTCAGGACAAGTATTCATGAATGAAATAGGATGACGGTCAAGTTTCATTGAGAGTTAACATTAGGTAGAAAATATGGATGATAATGTTCCAACCATGTGGTTTGAGTGACGACATACTCGTTAGGGAATCTCATAAACCCAAACAAACCGGCATATGACGACTTCTGATAAGTCCTGAGCCAAGAGTAAACCAATACACATTACTCACTGAGTTTCAATAACCTTTTCCTGATGTCAGTCTGTGATAAAAACTGCTTTAAAATCAATAGAATATCGATAAACTAACCAATGAAATTAGAAAAATAAGACTATCAAAAAAGTGGAGAATAAAAAGGTTTGTGATGAGAAGAAACTTGAAATACACGAATTGGTAATCGAAATGTACTTAAACAACCATATGCACATTCATACAGTAAGCAATAAACCATGCTTATTGTATGACAGCTAGTGATATTACTTCATTGTCCAAATGTCAGTAGGTGGAGTAGGTGTAAAACCTGAAAACTAATCTTTGAAAGTCGAGTGCCTAGACCAATGAGCTGTAGTTGATATTTCCATATATATACTCTTCTATCAACCCAAAAAATTAAGCAAGGAAGTTCAAAATAAAAAAATAGTGTTACTATTTATCAGTATTATATTATGATAATGATCAGTCTAAAAATTCATGCAACTTAATCTCGTCATCATATGACACGAAAGAATGCAGTGACCTCACATAAACCACATACAACTGAGCTGACATTTTATTTGATATGATTGTAAATAAGTCCAATAATTACTTAACATATCTTTCTCTTTGAAGTTTTTATGTATAAAGTGCTGACTATGCGACTTTGCTATGGAGCAGCGGCACATTGAAGATAATAAAAAACATATACAGGATGTATTTTGCTTAACACGCATACAACTCGGCATACAAAAATAACTTATATACCTACTACTGTTGATCAACTTGAGTAGTTAGAAATTATTCAGATTAATCTACAACATATAACCTGTTGACTAACATCACAATCGAGCAACTGAAAAACTACTTAGCTATGAGAAATGTCAATGTAGATTGTGCAATTTTCTAGGAACTATTTCCAAATTAATCACTTTCTTACAATTACTTATGTCCAGAAAGAAATTTTATCACGAACCATTGACAAAACTTTAGAATTGATAAATCATTCTGAAAAAAACCTCGATGTTGAAATGTGACTATATTCAGATGAAGCTGTGCAACATCTACGGAATAGTATTAATCACACAAGACTCGATGTGAACATATGCTTTTCAAGACAGAAAAAGAAGCAACGTAGAACCTCTCAAGTTACCACACTTCACACTAGTATACATAGAACAAGTGAACAGAAAAAAAGTGATATCAATGTAGAGAAGGTTGTTTGAAAGAATAATGAATTTGAAGATAACGGTTATGGGGAAATATTCAAGCTTTAGAAGGTGTCAATGAGTGAATACATCTGCGACATTGTGAGTGGTCAATTTTTAGCCAGGTGAGCAAGAGTCCTCAAACACTGATTCTTATGATCTCAAGGACGCCAACCAGATAGTCTACAACATCGCCTTACACGCCTCAGGCCAACAGTCAGGGACTTAATGAACTGGTGCCACCCGGAACCCTCTTTCCGCTTAAATCAACTTTCATTAGTACGGAACATCAAGGTAGGCGGTGGATCAGCATTCTCAGTACATGTCCAATTCATCTCAGTTGACTAAGGATCACAACCTAATCAATCGACTTACCTGTCTTACATAGTACCCTTGGATCACACAGTGATTCTACTAAACGCGAGCAATGATATGGAGGTGTCTGTGATTAAAACCGTGTATTCACTTCATATATCCGAATATTAACGGGCATGTCTCACAACCGTATAACAGAACAGAATGGACTGTAGTGGTACAGCATACTCGTCCTTTGATAGGTAGATGCTTGTCCAAGCTGCCAGATATTACAATACTAGATATTCGATGAATAATACTTTATTGCTGTGAGTGTTACCAAACAGATAGATCTAATATAGAAATACACTTTATGATAATATGAAAAATCCATAGTTACATTAGTGAGTGTATGTATTTGAAGCTAAAAGATGTTACAAGTGTGATTACGCAGAAATGATTATGAGTAGTGATAATTTATGGTCGAGTCGTCATAAAGTAAACAGCACTTTTACTACTGTATGTTATACATTCTACTAAGGTGCCCAAGTTTTATGCTTATATTATTGATGTGAAGTTTTTTGCTCTGTCAAGTGATATTAACTTGAAAATGAATCCGAAAAAAACAATCGAATATTATTATTATTATTCGTCACTTGGGTTTCTAGTAGAACATACGGCTTCAGTAGCACGTCTCCATTCCACTCTCTTATTAGCAGTCTATACAACCTCGCTTCACGACTTCCCACAAGCTTTTATTTCCTCCTCACACCGTCTCCTCCATGTCACCTTCACTTAGGACGCCCAACTCGTCGTTTCCCACTTGGATTCCACTCGAGGGCCTGGCACGTGTTGTCCCCAGTCGGCCCTTTTAGTGTATACCTAATCCAATCCATCTCCACTCTCTCCTCCTGCATATTTGTTGGGTGGTAGGTTCTAGGTTGATTTACTGCCAGCCAGCCAGAGTTCCTTGTTGCTTATTCTTATTATTCTAGCCATCTGATCTTCAGTATCGAGTGAGCGTATGCAGCAGCTGTTGATGAATGTCTGTAGTTTGTTGGAAGTGCTTTTCGTGACACGCCTAGTTTCTGAACCATATGACATTGGTGTTGAAAATTCGAATCATGTTCACGATTTATGCCGAGTGCAGTAAATCTCCACGCTGCTTTCGGATTAGTGAAAGCCTGTCTTGCTGTCTTTCCGATCCTGGCTGGTTTTGACATCCTCGTCTGTGCCGCCGCCTGTAGTTGAAATGATGCTGCCTAGGTAGGTGGGTAGGTGAAAGAGACAACTTCCCTTAGGTTTCTCCCGTTCACGGTGATTGGTGCCTCTTGTTCTTGATACTGTTGTTAGTTGAGTATCTTCATCACGATAGAGTGTAACGAGAAAAATGTACTCATAAATGATAAATTATTCAACAGGTAAAAGGTATTATATCTTTAGGAAGATTTTGCACAAACTGCTTGGAGATGGATTGATAGACGAATTACACAAGTATCTAAAGTGTCAAACTGAAAAATATACACTATATCAGTATCAATTGTTATGACATATTTTTTACAAAACTACATTTCTGATCTCCTCCTTCAATGAAAGAATTAGTAAACACTACATGATAGGCGTGCCTTATCACTGTTTCATGAATGAGAATGGTTTCAAGTTATAATGAACACATTATGCCTT